TAACAAATATGATTTGTTCCTTAGTTACTGCACCAGATATTTCCATTATTTTGTAGAGTTGAACTAAATCATCTTGATTAACCGGAAATCGTCGAGATGGTGGAATATGACTTCTTATATGTTTAATCTCATTTTTGAGTTGTTGAGGTGATAACAATAGAGGACTTATTTTTCCGTGATGAGAGTCAATTAAAAAATTTATAATTTCCGCTTGTATTCTTTGCAAATTAGCACCCATCAGTGTCAATTGTATTGCAATTGATATGAATATCTGCGTAATTTTAATTTGTTCGGTTTCATTGTCGATTCGATTTAGTACTTGGCTAATTTGATCTTGAAGTTGACCAAGTTGACTATTAACAGTTTCTTCATCACGTTTAAGTATATTTAATGTTGAATCTATTATGGAGGTTTGATTCTGCAGCAATCTAGCTAGGTGGTTATCATCTTCCTTTAGCTGATTTATTGTTTGTGACATATCCTCTGCGTAATTTGAGTCCAGAACCCCAAATAAAGCCTTTGCCACATTTCCAACGAGGTTTATGGCTCCTCGTTTATCTCGTCTGTTGTTTAATAAAATCTTCTCCTGTAGGATATCATCTCTTGTATGCTCAAACGTACCTACGAGCGTGTGACAAGCCGAATCCTGCTGTAGTTTGATGCACAATTTATCTAGTGCAGAAATTCCATTAACGAATGTATTATATTGAGTCTGTACTGGAGCTAATTCATAATAAACAACCATTTTCCATTCACCTGTTACCATCTAAACAGTGCCCATATTTTCGAAGGAGAGACCAATACTTGAATTAAGCTGTGTTGTGGTTACAGGATTGCCCAATATAATTGGCAGAAAGAATAGTGTGAGAATAATTGCGAATAATGTTGTTTGTTGGGGCAACTTTATTTTCTTTGATGGAATTACCAAGGTATCTTCCTGGCTTATGTTTGAATGATGTTTTCGTTTTTCGTCTTTCTCTTCATCTTCTCGAAACAGTGGAGCAAGCAAATGAATAGGCCGTTTACAAATTCCTGCAACTATCTTCATTTCCACTACTCGTACCATGCCATCATCGCCTCGAAACACTTTCATAACACGACCTAAGGGCCAGTTTAGTGGAGCTGTATTGTCTTCTTTGATTATGACCATCGTGTTTTCTTTGACATTGTCAACAGGAACCTTCCATTTATGTCGCTGTTGTAGTTCTGTTAAGTACTCAGCGTTCCATCTTTTCCAAAATTCAAGTCTCAAATGAGAAACCAATTTCCACCTGGTAAGTAGGTTGTGATTTGTCCCATGAACATTGGTGTCTATAGGTGCAGTGAGTGGTTCACCAATTAGCAAGTGACCTGGTGTCAATGCGGCAAGATCGTTTGGATCTGATGACATTGGTGTTAATGGTCTTGAGTTCAATATTGCTTCAATTTCCACAATGATCGTTTCCAACTCTTCATAGGTTAATGAAGCTGTTGATGTACTTCGAACTAAATGATATTTAGCTGATTTAACAGCTGCCTTCCAAAGACCCCCGAAATGTGGAGTTCGAGGTGGAATGAATTTAAATGTGATTAATTTATCACTGTATGTTTGAACTATTTTATTTTGAACAGAAGTTCTACGTAGCAGTTCGGATAATTCATTTAATTTATTGTTCGCACCAACAAAATTTGTAGCATTGTCACAATGCAGCGTATTGCAATGTCCTCGTCGAGCTATGAACCTCTTCAGTGCACCAATAAATGCATCAGAAGTTAAGTCGCTCACCACTTCTAAATGGACTGCTTTTGTGGCAAAACAACAAAACACTGCTACATAAACCTTGTGTGGTCTTTTTCCTCTGATTTTGTAGTGAACCCAAAATGGTCCACAAAAATCTACTCCTGCATTGTAGAATGGCCTTGAAGGTTAAACTCTCGCTGGTGGTAGCTGACCCATTATTTGTTGAAATGTTGTTGGTCTGCTTCTTGTGCAGCGGACACAATGTTGAACCGTTGATCGAGCCATTATCTTTCCCTTGATGGGCCAAAATTGAAGTCGGATTTGTGGCAATAATGCTTGTGCACCACAATGCATGTTTTTTCTATGAACATCAACGAAAACACTTTTCACAATTTAATCATTATATGGCAATACCATTGGATGTTTGGTATCATAAGCTATAAGTGATGATGAAAGTCGACCTCCGACTCTTAGAATTCCGTTACTATTTAAGAATGGACTTAAACTGAAGAGAGAAATAGTTTTGTGCACTGTTCCATTTGAGTGTAATTGCTGCAATTCTTCCCTGAAATCGCTTTGTTGTATTATACGTATGATTACTTGTAATGATGAGTTCAACTCGTCTGGACTTAATATTAAAGAGGTAGTGTGCCTGTTTTCTTTGCCTTTGGAGTATTTTACAAATCGTAGTGCGTACGCAATGATTCGTTGCAATCTTGCAAACGAGTTTCTATAATTGATCTTATAGATGAAATCTTCAGTAATGCTGGTGATTGCTGAAGTTACGATTGAAGGTTGTGTTGAGCATTGCATTTCAAGCGCCCTCCTTTTGGTTTCAGAATGATCAGTTATAAGATGTTCCTGAGCAATTGGACCTGGCCATGATGATTCGCTTCCATATAAAAACAGTGGTCCAAAAAACCACATGTGACTGGAATGTAATTCCGTAGGTTGTAAACCCCTTGATAGGTGGTCTGCTGGATTTAATTTGGACCTTACATGACGCCATTGGCTTGCATTAGATATTTCATGAATTCGTGCTACTCTATGTGCTACAAATGTTTGAAAAATATTTGAGTTAGAGTTGATCCAGTATAATACAACTTGTGAGTCTGTCCATAAAAAGTATTTGTGGTTATCGTATGTAAGAACTTGTTTAACCTTCGCTAACAGTTGGGCTCCCAGAAGTGCTGCGCACAATTTTAATCGTGGAATTGTTTGCCTTTTTAATGGCGCTACTCTTGATTTTGAGCAAAGTAGCCGTACTATGATTGTACCTGTTTTTAGAATTGCTCTTACATAGATTGCTGCTCTTCCGTGTGGTGGCGGGATAAGAATACCACCTCAGTTTGTCTCTGCTTGTCGTAAAAGGCGACTAAAAGAGAAAATGCACAGGTTAAAGTAGAACTTCTACGATTCCTGGTAAGTCGTGAGGGCGCACAGGTCAAAGTAGCTTGCTACGATTCCTGATAAGACGACCCTTCTGCTAGCAGGTCGGCCCGGCATTTGCTCAGGCCCTGCTAAGTTGAGCAGCCTTCGGGAAGTGCGACTATCTATCAGGTCAACTGTCAAGCGATAAGTACGGTCATGTCTCTGCTTATCGTTTGACGCAGATAGTCGGGCGGGGTGAAGGAAAACACCCTTTTAGTGTATGAGCAGTGAGAATGATTGTATGAATGTGTGAATAAATGGATTGTCTGTATTAGAAATAAAACCCCCCAAACTAAGGTGGAACAGCTACGCCTTTAGCTTGGCTGCTGGGGTAGAAGCAGTCTTAGTAGCGAACTCAGGATACCTGGCGACCTCCTGTATTAAACAGCCTTACCTGTGCAATGCGAAGCTCTCCGCAGGTGGACATATCTCTCTTCGCAACTCGTGGGAATCAAAATTGATAAACAAATTCTAAATATACCAACTCAAGGCGAAGTGGTTGATGCTGATAAGGTGGACAATGAGGCCTCACAGACCGAGCTGATAGCCTTAGCTTCAGACACCACAACGCATGACGGTCATGAGACCAACAAAATGGTGGACGAAGAAGCCCCGCAAGAGGCTGATCCGTTAACCAAAACAGTTGGAAACATGACAAAGACTGATCTCGACTTGGCCGAGCGTATCCGTCTGAACAAGAGGGAGAAGCAGAAGCGAAGAAGAGAGAGGCAAAAGGCTGCAAAAGCCACAAGATCGGTTGAACAACTAGCCGATCGACTCAGCGGACTATCGCATGTGGAATCATCGCTGGAGGAAGAGCAGCTAGCAAAGAGGTATAAGGGCGGATGCCCGGAAGCTCCGACAGCAAGCTCAACTCCGTCAGCTAGAATCACAGGCGATAACTCTGATGGTGGACAACCAGTAAAGGATGTCAGCCAAGCTGAATCGACAGTCAAAGATCCAACCAGTGCACGAGGTAGAGTACCTTATCAGGCACTCAACCGACCCGCATTGGTTGGTAAAAGGACTGTTGGTCGGCGTGGTGGACAACCTTTAGCGGCTGATAACCAGAAGAGAACGCAAAACGGAACTGGGGTTAAAAAAGGCGGACAACCCATACAGGGTGTTAACCAACCAAAACAAGGCAGACAACTTATAACTGTTGTTAAGCAAGTGGGGCCCCAGACCAGTAGAGCGGACCATCTACCTAGCACAATTAAGGCTGCAAATAAACAGAATTACGGCAGGCGGGCAGTAGGAGACGCAAAGGATGGCCCTGCCCATAAGAGGTCCTATGCCCAGTTCGCTGGGACGGATCTCAATATGGGCATCACCGATTCAAGAGTCGAAGGACCTCTTGGCGAGAAACACTTAGTTGCTTTTAAAGCATCGTTGTTGAACGCCGTGGAGTCCTTAGATGGCGGAATAGGTGACATAGGGTTTGTTGGCAACGCTCGCCTTGAGGATGGGTACATTACCATTAAGTGTAAGAACCAACAGTCAAAGGCATGGCTAATCAGCACGGTAACTAAGTTGGAAGGCCTTTGGCCTGAAGCTAAGCTGACGGCTGACACGCTAACGGCGTTGCGCAACGAAAGAAGATTACTTATTTTTGTGTACGACTCTACTGTAGGCAAGGAAAGTATTCTTAGCAGACTGCAGAAGCAAAACAGCTGTGTTAAGGACACTTCAAAGTGGAGAGTTACTAACTTCAACAAGTTTGGCGAGGAGAGCAGTGCTGGCGTCAGGCTCACAGTGTGGTGCCCGAAAGAAGACGCGGAGGTGATTAAGACCGCAGGGGGTAGGCTCAACTGTGGTCTTGATCAAGCCAAAGTGAAATTCTAAAGGGATGCACGACGAGCAAGACAACGCCTCTGATATGGGGCTAGCGGGTCTGTGTAGACCGTTAGGGAGGCGGGTGGGACCATACCAGAAAAACATAAAGGTTGAACAACTGAATATTCATCACAGTAAAGCAGCATCAGCAATGATCCTGCGACACTTTGACGAAGAAAAGTTGGACATACTACTGATTCAAGAGCCCTGGATTGTTCAAAACGCTATTATGGGACTTGGTACATCAGTTGCCACGCTGTTCTTTCCACAGGCAGCTGGTAAAATAAGGACATCCATAATGGTGAGGAAGGGGATACAATGCATCCAATTGCCTCATCTATGCTCACCAGATCTTACTACGGTAAGAGTAGGGAGTGATGCAAATACTTTTATCGTGGCGTCAGCCTATCTACCATACGACTCTACTGAACCACCTCCCAGTCAGGAGGTAATCAGACTGATGGAGTATTGTAGGACGAAAAGGCTAGAAATTGTCATAGGATGTGATGCGAACGCACACAACATTGTGTGGGGTAGCAGCGATAATAACAACAGAGGGGAATCTCTCCTCGAGTTTGTTGAAAAATACAATCTGATGATTGTAAACAGGGGGTTAGAACCTACCTTCGTTGACGCACGAAGGTCAGAAGTTATTGACCTAACCCTGTGCTCAGGCGCAATGACACAGAAAATTGAGAAATGGAGGGTCGCTGATAGACTAACAATGTCGGATCATCGGGCTATACACTTTGAACTACTCTGTCGTCCGAAACGCACTAATAGTCAGAGGCTAGTAAGAATTCCTGAGAATACTAATCAGGTAACTTACTTGACGTTGTTGACGGAATTATTACAAAACAGGCCGTTGAGGAAACTCAAGACCACATGGAATGTAGAGACAGAAGTCAAAGCAATTACTGCTGCGATGATTAATGCATTCGAAAACGCTTGTCCCCAAACTAGCATTGCAGAAAAGTCATCGACACCTTGGTGGAGTCAGGATCTTGATGTAATAAAAAAGGAGACAAGGAAAGCCTGTAATAAATACATGAGGGAGAAGAACTCCGAATCATGGGACTTGTATAAGGCCAAAAAGCGTGAATTTAAGAAAGCACTACGCAACCGGAAACGGGAGTCGTGGAGGAATTTCTGTTCGAGCATGAAGGGGACCTCTGAAGTAAGTCGGTTACAAAAGATGGTCACCAAAGATCCGGTCTCAAGACTTGGTTTAATCCGAAAGAAGGATGGTACAATGACGGAGACAGTAGGTGAGTCATTGAGTACTCTCATGGAGATCCATTTTCCAGGAAGCTTCAAATTTGATTATCACTGGCCATCTCCCATAAGGGGAATGAACAGAGAGGAAAGATTTGATGCAGAACGGATAGTGACCATAAATGCAGTTAGGAATGCCATTTTGACATTCGCTCCATTTAAGTCACCGGGGTTGGATGGCATATTTCCAGCACTCCTGCGATGGGGAATTGACCTGCTCGCAGTTAGGCTCACGGAGATATTCAGGACGTCACTGGCAACAAGGTACGTCCCTAAAGCTTGGAGAGAGTCAAGGGTGACTTTTCTACCAAAGCGAGGAAAAAAGGATTACACAGAAGCAAAGTCATTCAGGCCAGTTAGCCTTACCTCTTTCATGCTTAAAGCTATGGAAAAGGTAATAGTGGACTATCTAGAATGCACCACGCTAATGAAATATCCTTTAAGCAGATGTCAACATGCCTATAGGGCGGGGAGATCAACAGAGACTGCCCTGCACGAAGTCGTGAGGGCAGCTGAGAGAGAGCTGACTTCAGGAGGCATTTCAATGGCCATCATGATGGACATCGAAGGAGCCTTTGACAAAGTAAGCTTTGATAAATTAAAATCTGCTCTAGCTGACCGAGAAGTCGGTTCAATCATTATTGGATGGATAGATTTCATGTTAAGGCAAAGAGCAGTAAACCTACAAAATGAAAGACATAGACTGAGAGGCAGAACAGTCAGAGGCTGCCCACAGGGAGGGGTGCTTTCACCATTTCTGTGGAACGTGACCATAGACTCTCTACTTCAACCGCTTGACTTCAAAGGCATACAAACAATTGGGTATGCGGACGATATAGCACTGATGGTGAATGGCAAGTTCCCAGACACCATTAGAAACGTGATGAGAGGTGCTCTCAAATGCGTCGAAAAATGATGTAGGGAACAAGGCCTGGCCATCAATGCCACGAAATCAGACACTATCCTCTTCACGAGGAAGAGAAGTCTGTCAATGGAGCCCTTACAACTTTTTGATAATAACATTCGCATATCAAAGTCGGTGAAGTATCTAGGTGTTATCCTAGGTAATAAACTGACTTGGAATGAACATGTGGATGAAAAGATCAGGAAAGCGAAAAGAGCTCTATTTCAATGTAAGAGAGTGTGCGGAAGACGATGGGGGATATCCCCAAAATCGATGCACTGGATCTATACCATGATGGTCAGACCTATTATAACATATGCGTCAGTTGTCTGGTGGTGTAAAGTTACCCAAAAGACAATAAAGACGAAGTTAGATAAAGTCCAGCGACTAGCCTGTGTTGGAATAACAGGCGCTATGCGAACTACACCAACACCGGCATTAGGGGCGATGCTAGGCTTGCTTCCGTTGGATTTACATATAAAGAAAACGGCGGCACTGGCAGCAATTCACATGAACCGGAGCTCCACGTGGAACAACTTCGGAAAATTAGTGGGCCAACGTAAGATTCTTGATCTCGTCCAGGCCGCGGTCAAGGAAACGCAGATGCCATTGGCGACTATGAGGAGGGTCTATGGGGCAAAAGTGTCCTACAGAACACTGATAGTAGACGGCCTTCTACATAATGAATGTGGAAGGAATGACATTTGCATATTTACCGATGGCTCCTTAATGGATGGCAGAGCTGGTGCTGGGGTTTACTCGAAAGAGCTAAATCTAACGTGCACTCTACATCTAGGAATATATGTTTCCGTCTATCAAGCGGAACTTATGGCGGTCTCTCATGCTCTGGATCACCTATTGGATTGTCAGGTATATCAGAAAAAGATTCTGATAGCGCTGGACAACCAAGCAGTTATCAAAAGCATGCAAAAGACATACATAACTAACAGCTTAGTACAAGAATGTGTAACGAAGCTCATGGAATGTGCTCGTGGAAATGAGATGACGATCATGTGGGTTAAAGGACACATCGGTATTGAGCAAAACGAGAAGGCAGATGAACTTGCAAAGCAAGGATCAAGCCATAATTTCAGTGGCCCGGAGCCCAGAATACCATTGGAGTACAGCATGACGGCAGCCTATGTCAATAAGTGGATAATCTCACTTCATCTTAATAGATGGAGAGAGTTGAGCACTTGTAGACAGACCAAACTCATGTTACCTAAACCGTGGGCCAGGGAAGCGATAAAAGTGCTTAGCTATTCGCGGAGCACTCTAAGCTGGCTGACCTCACTAATTACTGGACATGGCAACTTCAAGTATCACCTCAAAAAGATAACTCTAGCTGAGGAAGACACTTGCAGACTATGTCTAGAAGAAAAGGAGACAGCGGTGCATATATTGTGCCAATGTCCAGCACTGGCAAGTAGGAGGAAGACTGTCTTGGGGCACCATTGGGTTGGTGACGACTTGGCAGGATACCTCAAGCTAAATGAGATGCTTGCATTAACAAAAGATGTAATTATGCGAACGGAAGCCACTCCAGCTTTAACTCAATAACAACATCCGAGAATCGAAGGACGAAAAAGGACCCAAGTCGTTTCGTGGTCTACTTCGACTAATCCTTCACTTCAGTGGGGCCACTTGTTGGACAGTGCGCTGTCCCAACGTCCCACCATATATAGATTGCTGCTCCATATGCTTTTTCAGATGCATCTACAAAACAATGTAATTGAATATCTAATGGAATTTCGTGGTTAAAAACATATCTCGGAATGATCATATTATTAGTTTCTTGCAGTCTTGACCGAAACTTAACCCATTCGGCTTCATATTCATGAGGTAACAGATCTTCCCAGGTCGTCTTTACTTCCCAAATTCGTTGAACAAATATTTTTGCTGTGACTATGATTGGTGCTACCAATCCTAATGGGTCATAAACTCTTGCTAAGTCTGAAACTACTGAACGCTTAGTAAAAGTTGTACATGGTGTTATACTTGTTGTTATGCACAAATTATTAAGCTGTGGTGTCCAAATCATTCCCAAAGTCTTAGCTGTTTTGAACGAACAAGTAGAAATATCCCAACAGACTTCTTGATCATGTGGTGAAATGTTTTGTAGTAATTATGGGTGATTAGCGCACCATTTTCTTGGCTTAAAACAATATGATTTCAAAATGTTAATTAGTTGTTCTTGAATCACCTTAGCCTCTATCAGACTGTTAGAGCCACATAATCCATCATCGACATAGAAATCTCTTCGTAGGGTCTCTGCTCCAAATGGATAAGTACCAGAACTTTCTCTTGCTAAAGTTTGTAAACATTTGGTAGCTAAGTATGGAGCTGATCGAGTCCCATATGTCACAGTTTTTAGTTTATAAAATCGTAGCGGCTCCTGTGGATTATTTCTCCAAATGATTAATTGTAGCATTTGATCTTCTGGGTGAATAAGTATTTGCCTATACATTTTCTCAATGTCCGTTGTGAAAGCGTATCTTGGAATTCTGAATCGTAATAATATTGAGAATAGATCGCTCTGTACCACAGGACCAGTATGCATAATGTCATTCAATGATCGACCTGATGAAGTTTTACTAGATGCATCAAACACAACACGTAATTTTGTCGTGGTGCTATCTGGTTTTATCACGCAATGATGAGGAATGAAATAATGTGAGGCCATGATGTCATCAGGTTGAATTTCTTCCATGTGACCGAGATCTTTATACTCAGTCATAAACTGCACGTATTGTGCCCTTAATGCTTCATTTTTTGACAGCCGTCGTTCAAGAGAGAAAAATCTGCGTTGTGCAATTTCACTAGAGGATCCTAATGTTGATACACTGTCAATAAGTGGCAATTTCACAATAAATCTGCCTTCTTTAGTACGTTTCAAGTTTTCCACAAAATGAGTTTCACATAATTTTTCTTGATCAGACAGTAGTTTTGAATTTTGTGCTGATTCTTCAAGATCCCAAAATCGGACGAGGAGATTATTTAGCGAATCTTCTTCTTCGCTAAACATACAACAGACAGCGTCACCTTTTGCTGTTTCTGATAGTTTGCCACTTACAACCCATCCAAGAGTAGTATTCTGGAGTATTGGTTTGTCAACTCCCAATTGGATTTGCCCTGACGTCAAGAGATGTGGATAAAATTCAGCTCCTAATAATACGTCTATTTTTTGTGGCTCATTGAAGTTAGGATCAGCTAATGTAATATTTTTTGGAATGTTCCATGAACTGATATTGACACATTGTGTTGGTTGTGGAGCAATAATATGTGGTAACACAAATGCTTCTAAATTTGTATTGAAATTGCTATTCATTGATTTAAAGACAGTGCTGATTCTTTGACGAGCACCCTTTGTGGTGTTACCAACTCCATTTATACGCATTGATGTTGCTTTTGGAGTTATTCCTAGTCGATGAGCTACCCTCTCGGTCATTAAATTAACTTGAGAACCTGAGTCTAATAATGCTCTACATTGAATTTCTTGGCCGTTATGTGCCAATAATCTTATAGTTGCTATTCCTAAGAATACATATTGCTGTTTATTGTCCTTTCTTGCAATAGTTAATGATGCTTGATGATCAACGCTTAAACCTGTGCTTACATTGCGTTGAGTATTGTTAGACTTTGGTATTGTTGTTTGTTTTTCAGTGCCATTAACCCATGAGTTTACATGTAGTAAAGAGTTGTGTTTTTGATTACATTTGATACAATTGCCTGATTTACAGTTGTATGCTATATGACCTGGTCGCAAACAGTTACGACATAAGTTTTGTTTTTCAACAAATTGTAGTCGTTCAAAAGTATTTGCTTGTAAGAACCCTTTGCATTGGTATATTTGATGTAAATCTTGCTTACAATATATGCATGATTGCCTGGTTGATTTGTTGATTGTTGCGGTATTACATACCTTTACGTCATTATTGGTAGTACTCTTTTGGCCGATAGCTTCCAGAGTTTGAAAACGTGTTTCAATGAAACTTAGAAACCCTGTCATTGATTGTAATTCCTTTGGTCTTGCCAATGATTGCTCATACAACGTATGTGTAGTTGCATCCAGCTTCTTTGTTAATAAATGAAGAAGGAGTGGATCCCAATGATCTGTTTGAACATTTAAGTTATTTAATGCCAACAAACATTCATGTATTACATCATGTAGTGACTTTAGAGATATTGCAGTGCCAGAGCATTGAGGTTGTCCGAGCAGCCGTTGTATTAACATGGTTGTTAATATCCTCTTATTCCTGTATCTCTCCTGAAGTATCTTCCATGCTACGTCGTAACTATCATTGGTAGTTGGCAGATGTCTGATAAGCCTCTCTGCTTCTCCTGATAAATTATTTTTTAAAAACCACATCTTTTGTACCTTGGGTAGTGATTGGTTGTCTACCATTTGAGAGAACATATCATAAAATTGTGTCCATTTAAGATAATCTCCGTCAAATCGCGGTATAGACACCTTCGGTAATTGGATTGGATTGTTAGTTACCTCTGTTGTAACTACATGTGGTTGTTTTGTTATTATCAGCTCAGAAATTGAAATCAAAGTTTGTTGTATTAATTCCTCTAATTGTTGATATTCGTCTATATTGTAACCAATTGATAGTGGGTCACTAGCGATTTCCCATATATTAAAATTGAGTTCCTCAATTTCTTGCCACAACTTGTTGATTTTTATTTTGTATATTTCCAACGCAGTAAACGTGTTTGATCCCAAATCTCCTTGGACCTTCTCCAATAGTCGTTTTAATGATATTTTCATTCCCATTTGCTTGTTAATGAGACATAAAATTTCTGTTTGTTTAGATACTTGCGACTTCTTGCTGAGATTTGCTTCATCACTGAACTCCTGTAGTTGCTGAGAGAATCGAGCAATGTAGCATTCTGCTAAGTCTTTAGTTTTTAAATAATCCTCATTAGTAAAATATTCATGAGTGGTTTCGACATCTGACAAATTCCTGATACGGTTGTCATTCTCTTCAAATTCACACCATATTTTAATTAAACGCCTTTTACGTTCTTCAAAGTAAGCTTTATTCAATTTCCTTTCTTTTGGATCCTTTTTGAAATTCGAAATCAATTTCTGGATTAATTGACCCAGTTGTTGCTGTTCGAGAATTAACTCCTCAAAAGTTTCCATATTTGTTTCCAGCAAATCAGGTACCTTGGTGCTTGTAACGTGTTCGCAGCTCACACTGTTGTGCTCTTGCTGTTTTATTAAAAGCTCACACTTGTTGTGCTTTTGCCTTTTATCTGCTTGAAGCTCACACTGTTGTGTTCTTGCTTCGACGCCTTAATGAAGTAGTATGTGATCGTGATCTTTGGTCACGTCCTTGATTTAAGTCCTTGATCTACGTCGATCACGTCGGGGTCACCAAAATTTATGTATATTTGAAAAGCCTTAATTCTTATAATATTCAATAAGCACTTTAACTTATTGAATATTGCTTATTGGTTATAGATTAAGCACTTGAAACTTACTCTATATAAAGCAGAATTAGGTTTTCGACAAGAATCAAAGAATAGTTTTTATTGATTGATTACTTTCTTTATTGTTTCAATTTCTTTTATACAATTTTTGTGTAATAATTTTATTAATAATAATTATACCTCAGCAACAAATTAATTGGAACACTGTTAATAATGCAAAATGCAACGTTGCATATTTCACCGTTCCTTCAGTTAAGTTGTTGCCTCAGCTTAACATAAATATTCAAAATAAATTATTTTACAATTGCTAAATTGCTTAAAATATAAATTGAATGACACAATTTAACAATGTGAAATAACATATTTATTACTTAATTTCTACCTTAACATAATGTATAAAATAGAACGTATTTATTATTATATACGGACAGTCCCCAGGCTAACGGACAGGTAGAAAGAATAAATAGAAATTTAGGACCGATGATTGCAAAGATATTAAATGTCGATAAGAACGCTAGTTGGGAAAAACTTTTAGAAATCATAGAATTTGCAATGAACAACACACGTCATAGAATGATAGACGAACACCCTAGCGTGATGATGTTTGGCATAAACCAGAAAGGAGAAGTTGTGGACAGTTTAAAGGAAAATATAATAGGGGGAGTACAGACAAAATATAGAGATATAAAAGAAATTAGAAAAAAGGCAAAAGAGATCCAAAAGAAAGAACAAGAATGTAACGAAAGACATTACAATGTAAAAAGGAAAAATCCAATAAAATATAGGTTAGGTGACTATGTGATGATAAAAAACTTTGATTCACATGTGAGTGTAACTGGAAAGTTGATTCCCAAGTTCAAAGGACCTTATGAAATCTTGAAAATATTACCAAATGATCGGTATTTAGTGAAAGATGTTGAGGGATTCCAACATACGCATATGCCATATAAGGGCATTTGGTCAGCAGTTAATATGAAACCTTGGTTTCAACGTACAATAAATCGAAATAAACCCAGCTTACGTGAAAAACAAAATTTGTATGTAAGAAAAAAAAATTCAAGTATACCAAATAGGAAAGAATATGATTGTCCAAGAAATGTAGGTTACAATCTTAGAAGCGGCACTAGGATCAGGAGATCCTAATAATCAGGACGGCCGAAATATAGTAATATAAGTATTATTTTAATTAGATTTGTATAAGTATTATTGTAATTAGATTTAAGAGATATTAGACTTAAGAGGTTGTAAATAGATTTAAGAGAGTGTATTTGTATTTGCTATTTTGTAAGCAGCAAATATAGCTGCAAGCAAGTATAAAGAAGTTGAACAGTCAGTAATAAATGGTGATAAACAACGCAAAGAAGTTTGTAATTACTCCCTACAATTTCAGAAGTGGGATTCGGCACGTTTTTTTTTTTATAAAATATATAAGAATTTGAATGTTTGAATTTATTTCAAAAATATAAAATATATTTAATATTGATGTAATTATTATCTCTAACTTATTAAAGATACTAACTTTTAAAAAAAAAAAAGAAACTTTAAAAATGAGTGACGCAGCGAAAAAGACTGTGTCAGAATTAAAAAACATGTGTAAGACAATTGGTTTGTCTGCACATGGCGACAAAGCCACGTTGGTGGCTCGGTTAAAAAGCTCGCCAAATTTTGAGCAGTTTCGAAAAGAATTGTATGTTGAAATTGTTGGAGATGATGGTGGTGAAAGTGATCAAGGGTCCGTGGCAGAACTGCGTCGATCTGATGGAGAGACAGTCGTCGGCGGTGTTAATGTAGACAAAGCGATCGACCAAAATGTAGTTCAGGGTGATAAAAAGGCACCAATAAGCTACAGCGGCACTGCACAAATGCAGATAAGGGACGACAATCATGCGTTCAGTGATGTAAGAGATGTTAATGCACATACATTGAAGCATGTTGACGAAACCGAGTTTCTTAAGAGAGAGTGTGCGTTGCTTGCACGTGAAAAAGAGTTACTGCTCAGGGAGAATGAATTGTTAAGAATTCAAAAAAATGTTGACTCGTTACGTCGGCAAGAAGAAGATGAAATTTCGTTAAATATTATTAAAGAAATTTTAAATGACTTTGATGGTAATTCTGATGCTAGTATGTGGGTCGAACAATTATTAAGTATAAAGAAAGCATACAATCTCAGCGAAAATAAAACTCGTGCGGTAATTGCAATGAAATTAAAAGGTCGAGCGCAATTGTGGCTGCACTCAATTAAAAATTGGATGACTGAGAGTGTCGACGAGTTGCTGAAACAACTATCAATAATGTTCGGAGTGCGGGAAAATAAATTGAAACTTCGCAAAAAGTTCGAGTTGCGTAAATGGCACTATAATGAAGAATTCTGTGAATATTTCAACGATAAAATTATGCTTGCAAATAAAATTTCCATGGACAATGACGAGTTGATTGACTATGTGGTGGATGGAATTCCAGACGCGCAAATACGAGTATATGCAAAAATGCAGCTTTTTAAAAGTAAAGACGAATTATTCGAAGCACTAGCAGGTTTAGAATTGAGAAAACCTGCAACCAATTCAGTGCGTAGAGTTGCAGCAGAAAGAAATGAACAGAGGCTGAGGTGTTTTAATTGCAACAGTTTTGGTCATTTCGCGGCTAATTGCGTGAAACCTAAACGGGAGTTGGGCGCATGTTTTGGGTGCGGCAGTGACAAACATCAAGTCCGAAACTGCTGGCAGAACAAAAACAAATTGAAGGATAATGATTAAGTAAAATATTTTAAATTTAGTCTATTTAAAAATATAACTAGTTACATTATTTTAGATAGCCTCGTCGATACAGGAAGCCCAGTCAGCTTGATTAGAAGGTGTCTAGTTCCAAACAATATCAAATTAAAACCTATTGGAAATGTTTCATATATTGGGTTAAATAAAAGTAAATTAAAAGATTTTGGAAAATTTTCTTGTTTTGTTAAAATAATGCAAAAAGTAATTCAAATCGAGTTGATTGTGGTGGACAGTGAAACGATGAGATACTCAGTTTTGTTAGGAAGAGATTTTTTAAATAAGGCAAATATTAAAATGATTTTAGATATAGAGAAAAAATATATACTTACAGACTTAATGGACGTGCGTGATAGCTATGATAAATTTGAACATGAAATTTTAGAAATTGAGTTCGGTATAAATGATGACGAAAATAATTTGTGCGTTGGAAATAAGATTTCATATAAAGATCAAATGTCATTTCATAAACTTTTCGAAAAGTGTTACTTGCGTTCAGTGCGACCTAACGAACCAAACGTTCGTAGTGAGATGAGGCTATTATTAGATGATCCTAAACCATTTGGTTGCCCCCCACGTAGATTATCCTATGCAGAAAAAATAGAATTGCAAAAAACAATAGAAGTGAATCAGAATTTGTCTCCCCAATTGTACTTGTGCGGAAAAAGTCTGGTGATATCCGAATGTGCGTAGATTACAGACGTTTAAATAAAATAACTTCAAAACTTAATTACCCAATTCCTTTAATTGACGATTTGTTAGACAGGCTAGCAAATAAAAAATTGTTCACAAAGTTAGATTTGAAGAATGGGTTTTGCCATGTTTATATGAACGAAGAGTCAATTAAGTATACGTCGTTTATTACTCCTATGGGTCAATATGAGTTTTTAAGAATGCCGTTCGGATTAAAAAAACCGCCGTCTGTTTTTCAAAAATTTATAAATAAAATATTTTCTGATATGGTGGTCGAAGAAAAAGTAATAATTTATTTGGACGACATAATGATAGCTACGGAAAATGTTAGAGAACATTTTGATATTTTAGAAGAAGTGTTAAAAAGGTTAGTAGAGAACAAATTAGAGTTGCGCCTAGATAAGTGTGAATTTTTACAAGAAAGAGTTCAGTATCTAGGATATTCAATTAGTAAAGACGGTATAAGAGCGAACGAAAAAGGGTTGGATGCAATTAGAGATTTTCCGATTCCCAACAAAGTTCTGTCAGTACAAAGTTTCTTAGGGCTCTGTTCATATTTTCGGCGTTTCACAAGGATTTTTCTGTAATAGCGAAACCCTTGTACTATCTGACGAAAAAGGACAAGAAATTCTGTTTTAAAGATGATGAACTTAAATCATTTGAAGTGTTCAAGGAAAAATTAGTAGAACACCATTGCTAGCTTTGTATGATCCAAGAGATGAAACGGAATTGCATTGTGATGCCAGTAGTTTAGGTTTCGGAGCAGTTTTAGTACAGAAAAAAAAAGATAATAAATGGCATCCAACATTTTATTTTTCAAAAAGGACCACAGATTTTGAGTCAAAGTACCATAGCTATGAGTTAGAAACTTTAGCGATAGTTTATGCACTAAAAAGATTTAGAGTTTATATTCAAGGGAAAAAATTCAAAATTGTGACCGACTGCAATTCATTGACAATGACATTAAACAAAAAATAACTAAATCCTAAAATAGCTAGATGGGCTTTAGAGTTAGAAAATTATGACTACACTGTAGAACATCGGGCAGGGAAACGGATGCAGCATGTGGATGCACTCAGCAGGGAAACTAATATAATGGTAATAGAAACAAACACTTTTGAGGAAAACTTAATAATATGTCAAAACAGAGATGCACAAATTAAAAAGCTTAAAGAATTGTTACAAAAAACAGAACATAAAATTTATGAAATGAGAAATGGAGTAGTATATAAAAAAAAGGATAGTAATA